AAAAAAAAAAAAAAAAAAAAGAGAAGAAGAAGAAGAGGAAGAAATCTAATTGTCAATTTTCAAAAAAACAAAAAATTTATAGCAAAATTAGATGTTTATTCAAAAGGGAAATGATTCATGCACACCATGAATCAACACCCAGCTAATCACACTAGCTGTTCAAATGGAAAAAAATAATGTTTTATTTGAGTATATACTTATTCTAACTTATTTTGAATAGTTGAAAACATGTTTTTTCAAACGTAGTAAGTGTCCTTGTCTTTTTTCTCATGCTTGATCTACTTCTTTTGCTAGTCATCTTCCTAGACTCATCGTCTTTGCCATTCCTCTTGTTATGCTAGGGTAGTTAATGGAAAGGTATTGTTCATCTTCTCCCATTTTCTTTTTATTAAAGTTAAAATTAAGAGATTAACGTTAACAAATAGTCAAAAATCCCTTCTCTTTCCTAGATCTATCTGTCATAACTCAAATTTTAGTAGAATTTTATTTTATTTTTATCTTAACTAATATGTTTTATTTTTATTTTACTTGTTAGGTTCATTCAAAGAAAAAAAGGGGAGGGCAAAAAGGAAATTTTACGAAGAAGATTGGAAAAGAAGATGAGAAAAAGGACTCAATTGAAGAAATGGAAAGTTGGAGGGGTGAAATGCAAAGTCTACCCAAAACCCATCAAACCCAATCCAAACTCAAACCCAATTACCCAAAACCTACCAACTACCCAAGCCCAAAATCCCAAAACCAAAAATTACCCAAAAATCCAAAACCCAAGCCTACCAACTACCCAAGCCCAAAATCCCAATACCCATTTAACCCAAACCCAAACCCAAAAAAAAAGAAAAAAGAAAAAAAGAAGGTGTCTGGAACCTTCTCTTTCCCCATCAAATTTTTTTTTTTTTTTTCCCGAACCAGTCCGCGCCCTGCGCCCTGCGGCCCGAACCCAGGTCCCCTGCACGTCCGAGCCTCGCCCCTGCACCAGCTTGCGCCCTTGCTCCCTGCTCTGCGCCCGACGTGCCTCCTACGCCCACATCCCGCGCAATCATCACTCCTGCACCTGCTCTGCACCGAATCTGCATCAATCTCCAGCTCTGCACTACGCCAGCCTTCCTTTGCACCAAATCCCCTTGCCGCCTGCTGCGCCGAACCCACGTTGCTTGCATGCCTGCACTCTGTACCAGCATCATGACCTTGCACCGAGCCCTGCTGCACCCCTGCTGCTCTGCCCCTGCACGCTACAGCAGCTCCAGACAAATTAGCATTAATATTGATTGACAGAGCAAGGCTTTTTTATTATTTTTATCTTTTATTCGGGTATATATATACAGAAAAATCAGATTGAAAGGTGATGGTTGGTTGATTTTGGGTCTCTTTGTTGGGGAGTTTTGTCTGAGTTTTTGAGAGCAATAGAAGGGGATTTACTGGAGAAGAAAGGGGGCAACAACGGTGGTTGAGAGGAAGGATCACCGAGCTTCCAGAGGAACTTCATTTTCGGGTTTCATTTTCTGGGTTTCATTGCCTTAGGTAATTTCTGAACAGAGGAATTTTTGGGAAGAGCCGTGAGGGAGAAGAAGGGAGCTTGATCCCGTGGGTGGGATCCCTCCCTTCGGATCTCAATCTGCTTTTTTCCCAGAAATTTCACCTTGTTTGATTCTGATTCTCATAGAGTTTTGCTTTATTAAAACTGTACTAGATGATGATACTGCAAATGAAATCAAGCATGTTTGTTGAATTTCATGGATCCGAATTGGAATGGATGTTTACTTGCTTTCTTTGTTTTGTTCTGTTGGATGGCCGAACAGAAAATCCAGATCCTTTCTGTTTCTGTCCAGATTTCATTTTGGTCTAGCCTTTAATCTGTTTTTGCCCACTTTGGTTGGTGGGTTCGTGTTTTTGGATGGATCAACCCGACCCAATCCAATAAAAAAAAAAACTAAAAAGGTTAAAAAGTAAAAAAATCAAAAGTTATCTCTTTTATTTCAATTTCGCACAATCTTTTCATGTTTAAGCACTTTAGTCCAAAAGTTTTAAAAATTTTCAAATCAGTCCTTTATTTTTTTATTTTAATCAAATCAGTCCATTTAAATTTTATTTGTGTTTATTGTGCATGCATGTTCTTGATATTGTCTATTTCAGTC